AACTGGTCAAACTTTTACATTTAAACTCCAATTCCCTTTACTTGCAAATGAAACTAATTTAATAATCATAAGGTCGTTAGATTATCACAGCCACAACGATCTCATCCTAGTTGATATATGCTCTACATTTCTAAACTCAAAAGATGGATGTCATATTTCACAACTATGTAAGATTTACATACTGTTGAATTTCCTCCTAATATCTTAATCTCTTTTATTTTCTTTACTTCTCTTTTTGTTATGACAGACAAAATAATATATTGAATGCAATTTCTAATAATTTCTGCATCTTCCACAGTGTATTTTTAACTTTGACAACTAATAATTCAAAGAAAGAACAGCAGGAACAACAATAAGATGGCATCCAGCTATCGTAGCTAATTATAAGATTAAAATAGAAAATACCTCTCGTAAAAGTCCTTCACGGATAAAATTAGACTGAGCATTGCAGCATCTGCTACTAATGTATAAACAACTCCAAACCTGACGATCCATCGAAATTCAGAAATATAAACTTTAGTTTCGACGACAAGCATTACAAGCATCGAGCACCAAGCAAGAGCCTGAATTATCAGGGCAACCACCTGAAACAAAAGGGCATAAGAATGAACTCATTGATCCAAACACCCAATATGTCCAATGATAGACAAAATACTTCTACTCGGCTATACATCAAGAACTTAAATGGACAATATCTCAATCTTTCTTACCCTGAAATCTTCTTCGGACTAAATTCTCATTCTTATGATAGCCCACATATCATATATATCTTACATCATCTCATATAATTTTAGCTTTTTAAATAATATTGTGGACCAAAAAAGACTACAATTTTTTTTATTTTGACTAAATTGCAAAGTAAAAGATCAAAATAGTTTTTTACTTTTCTCATGTAAACACATTTCCAATTGCAAACTGTGAATACTCTAAATTCGGTAAAGAAACGCTACTTAGAAAAAAAAATTAAAATATCTTAAGAAAACTCTACCTCGAATGGAGCAAGTGCACCCTGGCCATCTAAATTCAGAACTGAAATTCCCCTGATCAATCTGTATAAAGGCTCAAATACACAGTAAGCAGCCAATAAACACAGAACGTAGTTGTATATCTTTGACTTCAAACAAAATCTCTGTGCTTTAAAATCCTTCTTGATCAGCCATATTCTGTTGATACATAGACCTAGAATGACCAGATGAGAAATAACAATAACCACAGAGTCAATGGCGCATGGTGTGTAAGCTCCAAGAGCATTCTCCACTGCCTTCGTCCACACACCACCAGCAACTGGTCGACAATACCAAACAAACGGCTCAAAAGCCATTCTTGATTTACTTTTTACTTTCCTACTGCAAGCACATAATCCACCTCTGCTGCTTCCTTAACCTGGCGTTGTCGCCTGCCACGAGGACGAGCCTATACACGAATAATCAATGAAAATTAGCCTTACACAGAAAATCTAGTCGGTCTTCAAATTTTGTCTTCTAAGCAGAATAATTCTGCTAGTTGCAACCGAAAATTCATAGCTGCATGAGCTCACCATTTTCGAAACGATCATTTATTGTCAAGATTATTCGGTAAGCAATCACTGATCAAACTATGGATACCGGGTGAAAAAAAAAATTATTAGCACGTCGCTCCAATTGCGACACAAAACCAAACAGAAAAGTTCAAGAATCTTAAACGAAGAACTAAAACTCATGGCCGTATAATGCATTTCGCCAATCTCCAATTAGAGTAATCATATAAGCGCAGATACAATCCAAAAGACAACAACATTGAGTCGAAAAAAAATATCGAAACTAATTATCTCAGGTACGAGAAATGAATAAATATAAAAGAAACTACAACCGGAAATTGATTACTCGATAATCCAAGATAAAACAGAACCAGAATGACATCCATATAACTAAGAACCTGAAAATCAACCTCCAAGTATGAAGGCCGGAGAGAGGAGGCAGGGAAGAAACGAAGAGAAAGCAAGAGTTTACCCGGTAGATGGCGAATGAATGATGGAATCTCCCGGAAAAGTTGAAGAACAGAGAGGACAACGCGCCAAAAATCGATCTGGAGGCCGGAACTTGAGAAATCCAGCTACATAACCAAAATCACAGCCTGAAGTAGCAGAAATCCAGCTACAGAACCAAAATCACAGCCTGAAGCAGCAGAAATCCGTGGCCACCATCAGATTCCTTTTATGAACATGGAGCTGTATGTAATATACAGATAAGAGGAACAGTTCAGCCCGCGGGATGAACGGTGTCAAATTGATTGGTATCAAAATTACATAATAAAAAATGATAATTTTCTTATTTTTTTTTCATTAAAAATATAAATCAACCAGTTTTCCAATGCATTGGATCTTGACTACAAATATAATTTCTGATCACAAATATTAATAATATCACATATATTTGAACTGTAATTTATTTTCGTAATTCAATAAAGTACAAATACTAATTATTCCTGTGTTCATTATTTTATTTTACTTATTTCACTGCGTTTTTATAATGAAAATGACAGCTACTTATATAATCCGCCTCCATCAAAATTAATTTTAAGGTTTATTAAAACTAAAATATTATTATTTTTTTATAACATTTTAGAGAACAGGATAATTTTCTACGTGGGAACTGTGCAGTGTCCGGTGGGGGCACAAAAACTAAGCTCAAATGCATCATTGCTTACGATATTTCTCTTATTACTTTATGATTATTTTATTTTTATTATTTTATAAAAAAACAAAAATTGATCATTTTTTATTGGAAGTCATCATCATTTACTTTTCCTTTTTTATCTCTTTCAACTTTTCTCCAATTTTTAGCTTCACCCTCGTTGACCAGTGGTGCATGCATCATTGCTTGCGGCTTTTTATTTTATTTTTATTTTTTATTAATGAAGAAAGTTTATTATTTAATTATATATATATATATATATATAAGATAAATTTTTCATAAATTTACTGGACAGTGAAATTCTAATTTTTTTCTAAATTATATGATTAAAATTATAAATGTTTGGAAGACCCAAAGAAAAATAAAATAATATTGTCTTTTCACAAAAGTTTGATTCTCCCAATTTTAAAAGTCTACAGCCTTCACAAATTCCAAGCTTTTCTACGTTATTTATTATTGATTTGCGATGGAAGATCTATCCCGTATGGATTTGGCAGACAGGAGTGACAATTATTTATTTTTTTTAATTGGATTTTTTTTAAATTTTATAAATATTTAAACCATCTATAATTATATTTATGTATTCCAGTTTTAATTACAAAAAATAAAACCGAAGACCATTTATTTGAAACTGTTTGTTTTATATATATTTATTCCTACGAGGTACATGGGACCCGTGTGAACAGTCTATGTCAGTCACGTGACTTGGAAACCAGATGGAACGTGTTTGGCGTTTAAAGTGTGTTTCGGCCGTTGGATCCTACTATGGAGTATCCAATCTCGTGTTTTGATATTATTGGCCAAATTAATAAAAAATACTTCTAAATTTTTTATTTTATTTTAAAATATATATAATATATTTTAAAAAATAAACCTCAAAAATGCTTTTAAATTTTTTTAAAAATATTATTATAGTTAATTTTAGCCGACCGATAGTTAGTACATGATAAAAAAAAAAAAAAACATTAATTTTAAAAGGTAATATTAATGTTTTTAAATTTTTAGAAAAAGATTAGAAAGGTTAGAGATGATTTGAAGTAAAATTTGATGAAATCGAAAATTGAAAATAAAATATAGAATTTTTGTTGAAAGTTTAATTAAAATAAAATTGAAAATAATTGATTAAATTGAGTGGATTATGATCACAAAAATGAAGATTTGGTATGGATGGTTGTACAGCTACAAGCAAGCAATTTCGATAGGATTTTGTCCTTTGTTTCACCACTTTCCCATTGTATTGGACTCACGCCACTTTATTCTTTTGCCTTATAATAATAATAATAATAATAATAATAATAATAATCTAGCTAATTAAGAGTGATTTTCTTTTTAAAAAATCACGGGTACAGAGTATATTTCTTGATTAATTATATTTAATATGCACCCATTTTACTATAATTAATAAATCAAATTAGCCAGTACATTTAAATTAAGCGTATAATCAATACTAAAAAACTTAATTATTCCGCTGCAATAAATTATTTCATTGAAATATATACTTAATTTTATTAATAAGCCGATGTACTTAAAAAAAAATTTAAAATTAAAACGGATGCAATTAAGTACGGAAATCGTATATTGATTAATAATATATTAATTAATTTAGTTCCAGTTATTATTAATTTACTGTAAGCATTTATTTGTGATCATAATAGTTAATTAGCTAATTATTATCAAATAAATATAATTAATATTTGTATAAATAGACCTCTTATTTGTAGGGTTTCATTGTTAGTAATTAGTATGGATAGGTGTGTATACGACTAAAGAGAGAAGGGCAGTATTGTCTTTTAAACCACCATCAGCAGCCGAGACTCGAGAGCAGAAAGAAAAAGGGCAATGTTGTCATTATGATCACATAAATGCCAGTGGGACATGGAAATTGCATCAGCGCATACAGCGGAGGCACAATAAAAAAATGCAGAGCCCCCCCGCCGCCGCCGCCGCCGCCCCCTTTCTGAAAAAATCAAGATTCAAAGCCGGCGGTCGTGTGGGAAGAAGGTGGTCATAAAATACAATATCATCAAAATAAAAGTAAAATTTAAAACAACCCCTTGAACACCCTCTAATTCACTTCTTTGAAAGCTCAGCATCTTCATTGATACTCGTTTTTTTTTTAATCGATGTGGGATTCTAATCTACTACTCTTCGGAGTCCAACATCCTCGCTCACACACCGTCTCGTGTTCATCCCTTCTCGGGGCTCAACTTCCTCACTGGCACTTTCCCTCGAAGTTTTTAAAAGATATGTACTCTTTGAACTTGTCCGCAAAGTTTTTAAAACAACTCAAGCGTACAGACCGTTAAGGAGAGATTTTCCATCCTATTAGACAAACTTCCTATAAATTCCTGTAATCACAATTCTCATATTTTAATTCCCTTGTTCTCAAAGTGACATTACTACATATTGGGATTGGGAGCACATGACAATTGGCAAAAAAGATAGAAAGTGACTAAGATACAGGAAAAGAATAAGTCTACATATAAAAGAGAACAGTAACATAATGGGAATGTGAATGGCAACAAATTAGAGCATCTTTCACCTAGATTTCAGTGGGAGAGCAGCAGCGGGCATAGATATTAATTGAGAAAGAAAGCAAGAATTAGACTACAAAAAGTAGATATGCGCTACTACTACTACTGCTAACAACTTCAAGCATAGAACACAGCCATGAAAGAGATATTCAAACCTTTTTCTTCTTCCTTCTGAGGAGGAGCACAGATATGTGTTCTTGTGACCTTACGCATTCAAGGGCTCCATCTCTGCATCCTTTTCCCGGAAACTAGGCCTGCTTTCTATCTCTGTCATACACACATCAGGTATGGATAATGTCATTGCACATGTTAGATGAACACGACTCTCCACAATGGTATGATATTGTTCACTTTGAGCATAAACTCTCATGGCTTTACTTTGGGCTTCCCCAAAGGCCTCACGCATTCAAGGGCTCCATCTCTGCATCCTTTTCCCGGAAACTAGGCCTGCTTTCTATCTCTGTCATACACACATCAGGTATGGATAATGTCATTGCACATGTTAGATGAACACGACTCTCCACAATGGTATGATATTGTTCACTTTGAGCATAAACTCTCATGGCTTTACTTTGGGCTTCCCCAAAGGCCTCATACCAATGGAGAGTATTCTTTGTTTATAAACTCGTGATCATTCTCTAAATTAGTCGATGTGAGACTTCCATCATCCAACTGCGCACACGCGCGCACTACAATCTTACTAAAACATCTGAGAAACATCATTTCTCTGCCCCACTTCGCATTATCTTATCAAAACTACTTATTAGCTTGTTTGTGAAGTATACTTACTTAGCTTCTCTACTATCACCAAGAGGCGCCGCTGCAGGATGGAGGCCACGAACAGGAAAATTGAGCACATACCGAACATGACACTGATTGGAAATGCATCAACCTTCAAAGAAAATTCACAAGCAATCGATCAATACTTGACAAGAGGCGCAAAAAGAAATAGCATGATTATACGTACGTTGTACAGCACGACACACACAAAGACATTAAGAGGAATGCGGAAGAAATTCATAATGGTGCTCCTCGCCTCTTCAGGAATGTACTGGGATCTCATTTTCATAATGGATGGCCAGAATATACCCACACAAGCCTCAAAGACACAGAATCCAACCAACTGGATGCAGCCTGAAAAAGAGATGCTCCCACCTTTCACTTGGGATGGTTCTACCAAGAACTGTTTCAGAATCCAGCAAAAGCAGAAAGAAAGAATGATAAATTGGAAGCTTAATGATCCTTGAAAATATAATTGGGGGGGGGGGGGGGGGGGG